AAGATGGCCAGAAGCGTTCTTCTTTCCGAAAGAAATGTCGTTGCAGTTGCTAAGGCATTTGTCCGGACACGGTATGAGCCAATATTTACTCAGTGGTTGCAGTTCCAACTTCCCGTCCAAACTCACGCAGCCTTTTTGCAAACTCCTTTAGGGCCAGTCGCCTTTAAACTTCCGCGAGACACCCGCCTTCAAATGGCCGTGTAGGACGATGGCACGTCAGTATCGGCAACATTTTATCTCAGTTTGTCGACTCGTCCCAGAGAGATTCGGACGAGGCAGAAGCCTCGTCCGAGGCAGACAGAAGCCTCTGGCATTGTTCGCCACACTTAGCGCAGTGAATTGTTCAACAGGTGATAATTAGGCTCCGATACGGCAGGCGATGGCGATAATCCGATACCGTATTATCCTTAGCGTTATAGGTGTCCTTCTTCCATGCAAGCGCTGGCGCAACATGCATTAAAAAAGGAAAATGCAAAGCATGAAATGCATAGAAAAACACTTATAAGTTAATGTTACGCCACCCTATGTGTCTATGTGCACTCAAGTTTTGCGCAAGTGTTTGCATAACCCATGGCACCAATGGGCACATCGTAATGAGGATGAGCAGTGATCTATGTGTTATATCCGTTGCACGTTTGTGCCTGTTTCTCTTTTTGATACGCTCCATTTGGTTCATCATGATTTGTGTACCATCATATATTTTCCACGTGCTGGCCCTGGAGTAAACATCCAATGCCAAAAACTTCTCACATCTAAATCGGCGAGAAATCTACATCAGTGATCACGGGACAACCAGACTACAAGTTCCGTCTCATTGGCACTGGCCAGGCCACGCGTGGAGGTGTCTGGTGGTCCGGGCCGACACGGTCCGTGCGGCACGAGAGGCGGCGTCGGTACTGGCAGCAGCTGTGGTGCCCGGCTACCCCCGGCGCTGCCCGGTACGCTGACTCTCCTCTTCAGCATCCGGCATCTCAGCTTTGCCGCCCGCCTGTCCGACGTCTTAGGGCTCTTGACCACGCACAGCTGCCACCGCGACCACCGGCAACCAGCCACTGTCCGCCACCTCCGACACATGACAACCGGTCTCCAACGAACACCAACAGCCGATGGGGCAGTCGAACACATCGAACCGCTCCTGCTGCCGTCCGATGGGCTGGACAGCACCGTCTATCTTGCCACCTCACCTCACCGGGCGGAACCGCAGCAAATCCGCTGCAAGTGCACATCCATGAGCGGCTATTTTTCACCTTGCCGCCCCCAGCTGACCTCAACGGTCCAAGGATCACAAGATTATCCCTCCGGCGCAGCCTGACGTCGTCACAACTGCCACGCGCGGATGTTCCGCCCTGTGGCGGGACGGGACGTGGGCGCCATCAGTCGTGGGACGTAGGCGCCATCAGTCGTGGGACGTGGGCGCTATCAGTCGTGTGACGTGGGCGCCATCAGTCGTGGGACGTGGGCGCCACCAGTCGTGGACGTGGGCGCCATCAGTCGTGGGACGTGGGCGCCATCAGTCGTGTGACGTGGGCGCCACCAGTCGTGGGACGTGGGCGCCATCAGTCGTGGGACGTGGGCGCCATCAGTC